ACACTACATACTGATATACACCTGAACATCAGCAGGAGAGGACTCTTTAAAGTAGAGACACTACATACTGATATGCACCTAAACATCAGCAAGAGAGGACTCTTTAAAGTAGAGACACTACGTATTGATATACACCTGAACATCAGCAGGAGAGGACTCTTTAAAGTAGAGACACTACATACTGATATACACCTAAACATCAGCAGGAGAGGACTCTTTAAAGTAGAGACACTACGTACTGATATACACCTGAACATCAGCAGGAGAGGACTCTTTAAAGTAGAGACACTACATACTGATATACACCTGAACATCAGCAGGAGAGGACTCTTTAAAGTAGAGACACTACATACTGATATACACCTGAACATCAGCAGGAGAGGACTCTTTAAAGTAGAGACACTACATACTGATATACACCTGAACATCAGCAGGAGAGGACTCTTTAAAGTAGAGACACTACATACTGATATACACCTGAACATCAGCAGGAGAGGACTCTTTAAAGTAGAGACACTACATACTGATATACACCTAAACATCAGCAGGAGAGGACTCTTTAAAGTAGAGATACTACGTACTGATATACACCTGAACATCAGCAGGAGAGGACTCTTTAAAGTAGAGACACTACATACTGATATACACCTGAACATCAGCAGGAGAGGACTCTTTAAAGTAGAGACACTACATACTGATATACACCTGAACATCAGCAGGAGAGGACTCTTTAAAGTAGAGACACTACATACTGATATACACCTGAACATCAGCAGGAGAGGACTCTTTAAAGTAGAGACACTACATACTGATATACACCTGAACATCAGCAGGAGAGGACTCTTTAAAGTAGAGACACTACATACTGATATACACCTGAACATGAGCAGGAGAGGACTCTTTAAAGTAGAGACACTACATACTGATATACACCTGAACATCAGCAGGAGAGGACTCTTTAAAGTAGAGACACTACATACTGATATACACCTAAACATCAGCAGGAGAGGACTCTTTAAAGTAGAGATACTACGTACTGATATACACCTGAACATCAGCAGGAGAGGACTCTTTAAAGTAGAGACACTACATACTGATATACACCTGAACATCAGCAGGAGAGGACTCTTTAAAGTAGAGACACTACATACTGATATACATCTGAACATCAGCAGGAGAGGACTCTTTAAAGTAGAGACACTACATACTGATATACACCTGAACATCAGCAGGAGAGGACTCTTTAAAGTAGAGACACTACATACTGATATACACCTAAACATCAGCAGGAGAGGACTCTTTAAAGTAGAGACACTACGTACTGATATATACCTGAACATCAGCAGGAGAGGACTCTTTAAAGTAGAGACACTACATACTGATATGAACCTGAACATCAGCAGGAGAGGACTCTTCAAAGTAGAGACACTACATACTGATATACACCTGAACATCAGCAGGAGAGGACTCTTTAAAGTAGAGACACTACATACTGATATACACCTGAACATCAGCAGGAGAGGACTCTTTAAAGTAGAGACACTACATACTGATATACACCTGAACATCAGCAGGAGAGGACTCTTTAAAGTAGAGACACTACATACTGATATACACCTGAACATCAGCAGGAGAGGACTATTTAAAGTAGAGACACTACATACTGATATACACCTGAACATCAGCAGGAGAGGACTCTTTAAAGTAGAGACACTACATACTGATATACACCTGAACATCAGCAGGAGAGGACTCTTTAAAGTAGAGACACTACATACTGATATACACCTGAACATCAGCAGGAGAGGACTCTTTAAAGTAGAGACACTACATACTGATATACACCTGAACATCAGCAGGAGAGGACTCTTTAAAGTAGAGACACTACATACTGATATACACCTGAACATCAGCAGGAGAGGACTCTTTAAAGTAGAGACACTACATACTGATATACACCTGAACATCAGCAGGAGAGGACTCTTTAAAGTAGAGACACTACATACTGATATACACCTGAACATCAGCAGGAGAGGACTCTTTAAAGTAGAGACACTACATACTGATATACACCTGAACATCAGCAGGAGAGGACTCTTTAAAGTAGAGACACTACATACTGATATACACCTGAACATCAGCAGGAGAGGACTCTTTAAAGTAGAGACACTACATACTGATATACACCTGAACATCAGCAGGAGAGGACTCTTTAAAGTAGAGACACTACATACTGATATACACCTGAACATCAGCAGGAGAGGACTCTTTAAAGTAGAGACACTACATACTGATATACACCTGAACATCAGCAGGAGAGGACTCTTTAAAATAATAACCCACATTTGCTGCACAGTATATTGAAGATATCAGCTTTACAGAGCGTTGTCAAAATCTTCTTTTCCTCCGGCTCAAACAGGAAACAGGAAGTCGTCTTGATCAGTGATTTCCTGCAGCAGCCAAATACTGAGCAATAATTAAAGAGACAAGCCACAAAACCAAACAAAATGTGAGAAAATGTGTGTGTCCATATTTATTTAGCTCGTTTTACATGATGCATTTCAGCAAATTGTCTTTGATGACATTAATACATTTAACACCTGCTAACTGAACAGTTTTTTGCTCCTATAATAAACCGGCTTTCTGTTAAAACTTCACAATTTCAGCTTTGAGTTTGGTCTCCTCTGCAGCTCCTACTGTCACTATACAATCAAAGAACAGTGATAAGAAAATCAACATAACTGGCAGATATGCATTCATTTTCAGCGCATTATCAATCATTGGAAAATAAAGTCATTCAGTGTCCAAATTCTCAAAGCACAAGAAGAAATACATTTTTGTTAATGGTGGCTTTGGCTGAGATAAATCAAACATTAGTCAGTGAGAAATTATTCTTGTTAGTCCAAGAAAATACATAACGAGTGAGTGTACATTCACAAAGCGCAATTGATCACATTTTGATGCATTTTGTGAAGAAAAGACTGATTAAAATAGAGACATTGTATATTTTTTGCACACTTTGATTGATTCCACGTTTACGAGGGCCGACAGGTGCAAACGTTAAATCAACATTTTGGGAAAAACCACTAAAAAACCTCCAGGACGAATTTCATTTAAAATGTAAAGCCATGAACATGTCCGTATTGATCGGTTTCAACAGGTGTGTGAAATGGATTCAGCAAAAATATTTGATGCAAGGTCAGCAGGAAAGACGTAACAACAACACAGAAAAAACATTCAAACGGCTGAATTTCTTTAAAAATAAAAAAAATAACTTCATAATTCTGTTTACAATTTATACAACATATACCAACCTGTCCCCTGTGGAGTAAACAAGATGGATAGCTTGAGATTTTAATAAATACTGACGAGAACAAGTCTTAAATGTGTGGTAAAGCACAAAGCATCACCCCCATAAAGTATGTTTGTAATAAAATGTAAATTTGTACCTGTGTGTTATTGTGTTTCTCTACATACTCTACCATTTACAACAGCAGTCTGTAACCTAACACTGTAACTCTGAAAATAATCTGTCATCCTACTCTGTGTTATATTCACGCAGTATACAGATGTTTATTAAATGTAAACGTTGCACCCTAACAACTGGAAGCATCTACAGTGGCTGTGTGTGTATGTGTGACCTAGTATTACTATCCTTGTGGGGACCTACATCTGTTTACATAGCCACGTGTGGGGACTCGCCTCCCTTATGGGGACACATATGGCGTGTGTGTGTTTTCCCTCCCTTTTCCTTGACTGACATCATGAAAGCTCAACTGATTCCTGATTGTTCTGCCTTTTCCTCTATGTGTGTGTGTGTGTGTGTGTGTGCGCGTGTGTGTGTGTTATAATGGTGGGAAATAAACCTCATATTTCTACGAATGCACGGAAATCGTTTTAAAACACTTGATAAACACGGTTTCTGGTTTCTTGTTTGACCCACAGTTTGTTACAGTCTCTCTGATGTGCACAAAACTGGCAGCTGAATAATTTCCCCCAAAGTGTCTAAACTGAAACGCAATGATAAGTAACGCCTAAAATTGATGAAGAAATCCAGCGTTTCTTCCTTTATTATCAAACATCAATAAGAATTGACAAAAATGGTATTGATGTTAATCCTAAGGATGTTTTAGGGAAGCAATATAGGTTCAAATGACTGTCCCACGAATCAGTACAAATAAAGTGTTTTGCTAACATTAGCTAACTACAGCTGTTTAAGCAAAAGCGGGCTAGAAAGGAGATGCTTGCTATTGTTATCTTCTGTTTTCTGTTTTAATAATTACTACAAACTCTGAGTGGTTAATCTGCCAGTGTTATCAACATAAATTGCACGTGCTGTCAACAATGGTCAATAAAGTGGTGCAGGAATGAGTCCTAACGCTTTGTTCTACGACATACAATACGTCGGTAAATATACCCCACTGGTGAATTGAAAAACAGGTTGCTAACAAGTGTCTAAATGAGACGACTAAACATCATCACGGCCAACATTAGCCTCCTTTAGCTTAGCGGTGGTGACGTGAAGTCATGTGACCGTGCTGTAGATCCTTTATAGAAAGAATATATTTCACACACACATACGGGTTTTGGGCCGAGGGCGACACCGTACTTCCGGTATCCGCCATTTCACACGAGGTGCAACCAGAATATCATAGTCTATTGCCTTAATCAATATAGTCAACTCTAAAATACCACATATATGCAATGGCATGATAATATTATTGTGACAAGTGGGGTATTCACCTGGTGTTTCCAGAAGATAGACGTAGATGCTGCCAAAATCGACCGAAGGCCACTTTCGAGGGTCGTCTTTCCATACATCTGCAGGCAGTCTGTAAGGGCAATCGGACAACCCACACAGCTCTAGTTTACGCTGGTAACGACCTAGAGCACACCCCTCAAGTCCAGAGATGTAATCCGAAGACATGCAGCGATTTCTTCGGTCGTTAATTCAGAAAAAAAACCTAGTGCGCTCTGCCTGGCTACATTAGCTAGCTGTTTATATTAGCACCTCCAGGATATTAGCACCTCCAGGAAAATGGCGTATTTATATATATATGGCGCTCGTTGCATTGTGGGTAGCTCGTGACGTCACTGTGTGTGAAAGAATAGCCTCACATTAGCTTTTTACTTTTAGCAATTGCATTCACACTTTACTTATTATAACATTGTCTTGATAGGTGGAAATCATCCTGCTGAAGTATCACAAATGTGAGTTTGCCACAGAGCTTTTTTGTTGTTGTTGCAATAATCTAAAATCAAGTGTAAACATCCCATTTCTTTTAGTCGAGGGAGTCCTTGCAATGCCACAACGAGTCACCACCGCACCGCTCTTGTAATCCTGTAATAAGGGAATTTAACCTTACATAGCGCTTTTCCTGTGAGACAATAGAGCTTTCAGTACAGGTTTGGTCTGCTCTCAGAGCGCTGACTGACCACATGTTAAATAAAACAACCCCGTTACACGTGTCAGATTGTTATCTCGGCCTGATTTCCGCGGCGCTGGGATCACAGCGAGGCTGCAGCAGTCTCTCTCTCTCTGCACAGTTAAAGCCTCTGAGCTGTTGTGAGTGAGGGTGACATGTCCTGCTCGCTGTGTGATAGCTTTACATTCCAGCTGTCTGCTCTGGTTGCAGTCGCCTCACACTTCCTGCCTGCCCGCAGCCCGACTGGCTTTTCCTCAGTCGCATTCGGGTGTCATTCCTCGTGCAATGTGACTGGAGTTGCTTAATTGAAAGAGCCTAAAGTACAGTAACCTTCAGCTGGTGCCAGTTTCATATGAAGAAATATATTTTTGGAAGTCAGTGTAGCATAAGAAATGGTGGAGCAAACATAAATACATTTGGTGGTGTTTTCACTGCAGTGGAAGCTCGTCCAAGTGCAGAATGTAAATGAAAATATGTAACTACATTAAAATATTGTAATATAAATATGTAAAATAATACTTTTGAGGAAAAACTTGACTATTTACTGCAAATGACTTAAAGCACACGACTGGCAATTTATACCGGTCATTTATAACTCTGTGTTTTCTCAGCTTGTAAACAAGTCTGCAGGTCAGGTGCGTTCAAGTGCTATTGGACAATTGAGACTTAAAGGTGCCAGTTGGGTTTTTTCTTATAACCACAAAGAGAGAAGTATGTTTAGTGTTTTTTAACAAATGTATATATGAATGTGTGTATCCTCGAGGTGAAAAACAAATCTGTAGAGTACTTTATTTATTTCTAAAGCCATTTTTTATGTCATATTTCTCATTCTTTACTGTTTTTATGTCATTCTTTGATAGCTAGCAGTCTTTTCGCCTGTTACGTAAAAAATACTTTACTGGTCATAACCCTCAACGCCCCGTAGAGTTACTGACAAGAAAGGGCAACACATTTGAATTAGTGAAGTTTGTTTTCACATGATAGCACATTAATGTTCAATCAAACCTGTTAATTAATAGTTGGATGTGAAATGTGATTGAAAGCTCATAAGTGGAAGTAATTAAGGAGTCTAAACTGATACTGATTAAAAAAACACCAATAATGTACTGAAATAATGCAAATAAATATGTGCAATTTTTAAGTAAAACATGCAGAAAATGCGTCTTTAAATCTTATAATACTGACGTGTTTAAAAACAGAGACTGTGGTTATGTAAGATCATTATTGGCATCAAGAGTGTCAACGGAGAGGGTGGTATGTTTGACCTCTCTGATTTTACAAGACTATCCTTAATATTAAATCCTTAAAATACATCTTTTGGTCATCTTCAGCCAAAGAAGATGATGGGAGTCCAGTTTGTGTTAGTTATGGCAGAATAAATACAGAATTCTGTGACATATGGATCAGAAAAAGAGGAGAAAAACACATAATTTATAAAGACAGCTCTTACCGTAAAGGGGGGTTTGCTTTTCTACGAGATAACGCCATTTCAGATGTTATTTTCACAGCAAAGTCGCCCATAACCTCCCAGTAATCTCAGAGTAAAACCCAGCGCCTGCCTGTCTGCCAGTTTTGTGTCCAGGAGGTTGAACAAGCTCATTATCGACACTAATCCTGAGCCGTGCTTCTCCAAATGATTGCACCAAAAAAACTAAAAGACTGCAGCTCGGGAACTGTGTGAAGTATTGTTTCCAGTTTTTCACTCGTCAGCCATGTTTTAACACATTTCTGACATCTTCTCAACTTCCTCTTCGTCTCCACACTGAGCGGCTGGATCGTTCACATTTACAGTTTCTTTTGGAATTGGCACTTGACAAATAATTTAATAAATAAATAAATATAGAGCCCACAACAGTAGCTCGTCCTTCTGTGTGAGGAACCGTCCCTAGCGTCCCTTTCTGCTTCCTCTCGTGGGTTTTTCCTCCAGTTCAGGAGAGAAACAAGAGTCCAGAAGCAGCAGCGTTTTTTCTCTTGCAGGAAGGTGTTTGCTTGCAGCAGGTGTGTTTGTTTGTGTGTGTAGATATTGATTATGCTTCCGAGTGTGAGTGTGTGGATTAGTCCAGCGAGAGCAGCGGCTGCATGTTGTCCTCGTCACTTTTCACTTTGTCCGGTCGCTTCAGGACGCCCGGCTCCACCACAGACTGAGACCTGCAGAACCACAACACAGATGGTCAGACTAACGGCCTGTCATATTTATATAGTTGCATGTTGAGATTGGCCCACTTTTGGATCAGAAATGCATTTATTGGAAATGCAGCAATTCAAATGTTTGTCTCCTGATAATCGTTATGTTACCCTAACCCCCCCCCACCCACATTTACATACAGCTGGGTTCCTTAAAGAGTCCTCTCCTGCTGATGTTCAGGTGTATATCAGTATGTAGTGTCTCTACTTTAAAGAGTCCTCTCCTGCTGATGTTCAGGTGTATATCAGTATGTAGTGTCTCTACTTTAAAGAGTCCCTCTCCTGCTGATGTTCAGGTGTATATCAGTATGTAGTGTCTCTACTTTAAAGAGTCCTCTCCTGCTGATGTTCAGGTGTATATCAGTATGTAGTGTCTCTACTTTAAAGAGTCCTCTCCTGCTGATGTTCAGGTGTATATCAGTATGTAGTGTCTCTACTTTAAAGAGTCCTCTCCTGCTGATGTTCAGGTGTATATCAGTATGTAGTGGCTCTACTTTAAAGAGTCCTCTCCTGCTGATGTTCAGGTGTATATCAGTATGTAGTGGCTCTACTTTAAAGAGTGCTCTCCTGCTGATGTTCAGATGTATATCAGTATGTAGTGTCCCTACTTTAAAGAGTCCTCTCCTGCTGATGTTCAGGTGTATATCAGTATGTAGTGGCTCTACTTTAAAGAGTGCTCTCCTGCTGATGTTCAGATGTATATCAGTATGTAGTGTCCCTACTTTAAAGAGTCCTCTCCCGCTGATGTTCAGGTGTATATCAGTATGTAGTGTCCTCTACTTTAAAGAGTCCTCTCCTGCTGATGTTCAGGTGTATATCAGTATGTAGTGTCTCTACTTTAAAGAGTCCTCTCCTGCTGATGTTCAGGTGTATATCAGTATGTAGTGTCTCTACTTTAAAGAGTCCTCTCCTGCTGAGGTTCAGGTGTATATCAGTATGTAGTGGCTCTACTTTAAAGAGTCCTCTCCTGCTGATGTTCAGGTGTATATCAGTATGTAGTGGCTCTACTTTAAAGAGTGCTCTCCTGCTGATGTTCAGATGTATATCAGTATGTAGTGTCCCTACTTTAAAGAGTCCTCTCCTGCTGATGTTCAGGTGTATATCAGTATGTAGTGTCCCTACTTTAAAGAGTCCTCTCCTGCTGATGTTCAGGTGTATATCAGTATGTAGTGTCCCTACTTTAAAGAGTCCTCTCCTGCTGATGTTCAGGTGTATATCAGTATGTAGTGTCTCTACTTTAAAGAGTCCTCTCCTGCTGATGTTCAGGTGTATATCAGTATGTAGTGTCTCTACTTTAAAGAGTCCTCTCCTGCTGAGGTTCAGGTGTATATCAGTATGTAGTGTCTCTACTTTAAAGAGTCCTCTCCTGCTGATGTTCAGGTGTATATCAGTATGTAGTGTCTCTACTTTAAAGAGTCCTCTCCTGCTGATGTTCAGGTGTATATCAGTATGTAGTGTCTCTACTTTAAAGAGTCCTCTCCTGCTGATGTTCAGGTGTATATCAGTATGTAGTGTATCTACTTTAAAGAGTCCTCTCCTGCTGATGTTCAGGTGTATATCAGTATGTAGTGTATCTACTTTAAAGAGTCCTCTCCTGCTGATGTTCAGGTGTATATCAGTATGTAGTGTATCTACTTTAAAGAGTCCTCTCCTGCTGATGTTCAGGTGTATATCAGTATGTAGTGTCTCTACTTTAAAGAGTCCTCTCCTGCTGATGTTCAGGTGTATATCAGTATGTAGAGTCTCTACTTTAAAGAGTCCTCTCCTGCTGATGTTCAGGTGTATATCAGTATGTAGTGTATCTACTTTAAAGAGTCCTCTCCTGCTGATGTTCAGGTGTATATCAGTATGTAGTGTCTCTACTTTAAAGAGTCCCTCCTGCTGATGTTCAGGTGTATATCAGTATGTAGTGTCTCTACTTTAAAGAGTCCTCTCCTGCTGATGTTCAGGTGTATATCAGTATGTAGTGTCTCTACATGTCTCCATACTTTAATGTTCAAAAAGCTCTTTATTTTTCTCATACTGCCTGTCTGTGCTGCAGCTCCTCTTTTCACCCTCTGTCTGAAACCAGAGCGCAGTCTTTTCTGATTGGTTAGCTTGCCGGCTCTGTTGTGATTGGTCAACCGCTTAGAGATGTCCCGCCCCTGAGCCTATCACGTACAATGTGTTGGAGCGCTATTAGACAGAGTGTTACGTAGGGGATTTGAGCCTTTGCAGACCATTTACATGCATAACAACAGATATAACAAACTACAAGGAAAGGGAAACCCCTCCAAAAAAGCATAATAGGATGTTGGGAAAATACTGAATGTCCTCTTCCAACATGAGAGTATCATGATAACAAAGGTATCAACTGTAGCTGTGAACGTGACAGGATGTGTGATTACCTAGAAGAGCATCAGGACTGTTTGAGGCATATGATAGCTATGTGATTAACATGATGATTCAGCCTCTATGGAGAGAGACATCAAGCATGCTCATTTCTGACGTGGAGCTAATCTGAAGTAAACATTGAATACTGCTTTCTATTCCTCCATCTTGTGACTGTGTGACTCCCTCTCTTGGATATCAGCATGTGAAGGACACTGCTCAGGAACTAGTTGATGCTCTGTATGTGATGACTACTTCCATTCTGGAGAGGATCACAGATACATGGATCCTGAGGTTGAAGCTCAAGCCGGGGACCAGGGAGATTATTAACATTTTTAAGTATTTAGAAAAAGTCAGAATTTTGAGAAAAGTCAGAATTTAGGGATTTTGAGAAAAAGTCAGAATTTTGAGAAAAAGTCAGAATTTTTATTAAAAGTCAGAATTTTTATTAAGTCAACATTTTGAGATTTTGAGAATAAGTCAAAATTCTTAGATTCTTTGAAAAAAAAGTCATAATTTTTGAGAAAAAAAATCAGCATTTTGAAAAAGGTTAGAATTTTTGGATTTTGTGAAAAAGTCATATTTTTGAGGAAAAAGTCAGAATTTAGAAATGTTGAGAAAAAGTCAATTTTTTTTATAAAAGTCAGATTTTTGAGAAAAAGTCAACATTTTTAGAAAAAGTCAGAATTTTCCGATTTAGAGGAAAAACTCAGTATTTTGTACGTGACAGGATGTATGATTTTCTACAAAAAAACGGTATTCCTCCATCTTGTGACTGTGTGACTCCCTCTCTTGGATATCAGCATGTGAAGGACACTGTTCAGGAACTAGTTGATGCTCTGTATGTGATGACTCCTTCCATTCTGGAGAGGATCAGAAATACATGGATCCTGACATTGAAGCTCAAGCCGGGGACCAGGGATTATTAACATTTTTAAGTATTTTGAGAAAAGTCAGAATTTTTATTAAGTCAGAATTTTGAGATTTTGAGAAAAAGTCAGAATTTTGAGTAAAAGTCAGATTTTTTTGTAAAAGTCAGAATTTAGGGATTTTGAGAAAAAGTCAGAATTTTGAGGAAAAATTCTGAATTTTGAGAAAAAGTCAGAATTTTTATTAAAAGTCAGAATTTTTATTAAGTCAACATTTTGAGATTTTGAGAAAGTCAAAATTCTTAGATTCTTTGAAAAAAAGTCTGGATTTTGAAAAAAGTCAATTTTTGTATTTTGTGAAAAAGTCATATTTTTGAGGAAAAAGTCAGAATTTTGAAATGTTGAGAAAAAGTCAATTTTTTTTGTAAAAGTCAGATTCTTTTTGAGGAAAAAGTCAGATTTTTCCGATTTAGAGGAAAAACTCAGTATTTTGTTCGTGACAGGATGTATGATTTTCTACAAAAAAACGGCATTCCTCCATCTTGTGACTGTGTGACTCCCTCTCTTGGATATCAGCATGTGAAGGACACTGAAGGAACTAGTTGATGCTCTGTATGTGATGACTACTTCCATTCTGGAGAGGATCACAGACACATGGATCCTGAGGTTGAAGCTCAAGTCAGGGACACGTGAGATTTTTAACATCTTCAAAATCCCTGCTCTGACCTCTTCATGGTTTTGGGGGACAGGTTCTTCTCCAGGTCCCGCTCCAGGTCCTGCACTGACAGGGTGTAGGACTCGGTGGTCGGTATCCTCGTCGTAGGCGTGGTCCAGCAGCGCCCGCGCCCACGTGCCCATATCGTACGGAGGCATCATCCCCCCCAGCTCCGAGGGCAGGATCTCCGGATGGATGAGCAGGTGGAGGCTGTTCAGGTTGTTCCCGTGCATGAAGATCTGCAGGGGGGAAGACACAGACGGTAACACTTCACTTAATATTGTACCTGATGGGCTCATTATTATTCGCTCGTTATTATGAGCCTATATTATTATTATTATGCACCGCTTTCCCCCTTCTACGACTCAGATGAGGGTGTTGAACTTTTCCTTGAGCATGTGATGTTTTGGTGTTTTATTGTTTTGTTTCTTTCTGTTAACTGTCAAAGTGGAACTAAGTATTTTTTTGTACGTTTTTGTGCTTCTCTTATTTTCCAACGATACTGATTGGCTGAGAATAAGAAAATATGAAGGACAGACCTTCTATTTTCTTTTTATTTCGTTTGTTTGAGACATAGAGACATGTTTTGTAAATTAAGTTGTGCATATCAGGAACGGAACAAATACAAATGAAATGAAATAGTAAATTGCTTTAATTTGCTTAAACTAGAGGGGCATAACTAACACCAGTGTGATGTTGGTGAGATTATGACCTACAGTAGGGGGTGCATAATCCGGCAGCCGTAACACCAACTCTGACAGATTTAGAAACCCCCCTGCCATTTTTTAAACTAAAATGCAATCCCGCTGTTACCATGCTGCTGTAACAAAACATATTCACAATTAGGGATCAAAAAAGTACATCTAATCCTAATCAAATCTGATAAAAATCATATTTCCAGTCCAGCAGATTTGGACTTGTTTTTGCTGAAGCATTTGAATCCGATATTTAGCATTTGTAACCCTCATTTTGGTCTCCACCATCTCCTGACGGAAATATCTGTTTATTTAGCTGCTAAATTCTCCTCTATGTTCACCAGTCTGTCTCTCATTAGGTTTTAAACGCTGTCTTCTGGTGAGATGAAGGTTAACAGTCTGTTTTTAGATTAGATTACTTTATTGTCATTACAAAAATGCAAGCACAGTGTAACGAAATGTAAGGAGGGTCTAACCAGAGTGCAAAACAGTCAGTTACATACACAATTATCAGAAGTATGTACAAAATAAATGATACAAAAATAAAGGTAAATAGATGGGAAATGTATAAATAGGAATAAATACACAGATAATAATAAATACAGTGAATACAGAATTGCGCTTCAGCACAGCACACAACAACAACAACAACAACAACTAGGCAGTGTGTCATAAATACATTTCCTGAAAGCTGCTTTAATATCTTCTCACCCTCTTCCTGGTCTTGTCTTTGAGGAAGGGTCGTATCACGGTGTAGAGAGCGTGGATGTACCACGGCTGATTCACAAAGTGGATTCCTCCAAATCTGGCAGGATAACTGTCCTGTTGGGAGAAGAAACAAAGCAAGACGTCACAGAAGAAAAACATCCAGCCATTACATCCTGACTCAGCGATTTAATAACAGGTGCAATTACTACGTCACTCAAGAGGCTGCTTCTTTGACTTGCAGCAGGAGAAGAATGACCTCTGTGAGTTTCCTGTCCCTTTGCATTAGATTAGTTTTTGAGAATGGGTTCTAATCTCATCATCTATGGGAAATGGTCCGGGCTATTTTAGAGTCACCGCAGATTAAAACGCCGGGGGGAAATTAGTCTTTGTTCGTACAGGTTGACTGTGTGGAGTCTGTGTTTCCACCATTATCATGATTACCCTCCACTGTAACCGTGTGTGTGTGTGTGTGTGTGTGTGTGTGTGTGTGTGTGTGTGTGTGTGGTGTGTGTGTGGTGTGTGTGTGTGTGTGTGTGTGTGTGGCCTAGCATTACTATACTTGTGGGGACCTAAATATGTTTACACAGTCACGTGTGGGGACTCGCCTCCCTTATGGGGACAAATTGGAGGTCCCCATGAGGGGAATCATTAATTTTAGGGTGAAGACTTGGTTAGGTTAAGGGTTAGGGTTAGGCATGTGTTGGTTAGGTTAGGATAAGTCTCCAGGAAATGCATGTAAGTCAATGTAATGTCCCCTGAAGTGATGTATACATGGTGTGTGTGTGTGTGTGTGTGTGTGTGTGTGTGTGTGTGTGTGTGTGTCATGGTTTGGCTGTGGTCCAGCAGAAGGGTGAAATTATATTCTGACGTAACAAAGCCAGCAGATGAAAAAAGGCTGGAGGCAGACGTTTATGTAAAAGCTGTTGGCAGTGTGTGTGTGTGTGTGTGTGTGTGTGTGTGTGTGTGTGTGTGTGTGTGTGTGTGTGTGTGTGTGTGTGTGTGTGTTGTGTGTGTGGGAGAGACAGTGAGATTATCTGAGGATGGGAAACACTCGTATGTACATTAGGATTTCACAGAGTTGAGTCATCGAGCAGAAGCACAGCCAGAGGAAGTGGAACGGGGACTGTCCAACACTTTGATTGCAGAGAGAGACTGTATCTTGACTTCTATGGTCATATTTGCAAGAAATGTAATGTGAAAATTCATTTGTTTGTCTCTTACTGACATTTCCTTGACATGTTAAAGGTCCAGCTCGAATGCCATGAACAACATTATCACATTCACACAAGAAGGAACACTCTCACACACTCTGTCTCCATCTATACAGTGTACAAGGGTCACGTTGCATTTGTGTGATTAGGTTTGAAGCATACCCCTTAAGTCTATCTTCCAATTTAGACATGAACCTAACAACAGGACTTACGATACGATATACTTTATGCTCCCCGTAAGAAATTAGTTCTGGACCCAGTTCCACATACATGTAGTATACAAACATACAGTAGTAACATTAAAATACATTATTATATTATCACTCATACACGTTTGGACAAACACAAACACAGGCGCAGCGACTGACAATGGCGACCTATGCAGAACCCTCATGGCCAACATTTGAGAGTATATTACATTACATGTGAGTGTTGAGAAGCTTAATGGACAGAGGCAGGAATGACTGCTCTTGGGAACTTTATAGGAGCTGGAGGTCTAAGTGGAGAACGTGGGGGGATCAGACACGATTTGTGTGCCCGTCTAACAATGGACTTTGTATTGTGTAGTTGTCAAAAGAGGCCTCTGAAAGCTGCTCGATGGCTTTCTGTGCATGTTGATACCGACGTTTCTATTTTGCAATAAAGAGAAGACCATGCAGGGAAGAAGAAGCTGTCAAAACAACGGTGTCTTCCAGGCTACACTCCTTAGAAGGAAGTGAAGAGTATTCACATTATTTGATTCTCAAATTAAATGATTGAGAACAAAATGTCACTAATACTTTTATAATAATCATGAATTAATTGATTAATTAATTGTAACACTCTCATGGCTACCAGAGGATGTGTACCCTAGTGATGACCTCATAACATCCTTTGTGTCTACAATAAGTCAAAAATGTTACCCATAAGTAGTTTATTAGATTCTTTAAGGATTTTTACTAAAGAATATGTTGGAGATATAAAAAAATAGCTTTTTTAAAACTAATTTCTGTCTTTATTTCTTGGAATAAAGCATGCAAATTCACTTGTTCCACCATGTAACTCATTCTTCGAGTCATACATTCTGAATATTGGTGCAAAATATTTCCAAATGGTCAGTAAAGGTGAAAAAGAGACATGTTTGGCAGTGTGTGTGATGCCTCTGACTCGGACCCCTCCCCTCTGACTCGGACAGACACTCTCACTTTGATGAAGGGTCCGCTGCATTCTACATGAAACACTGAAGACTGGACCTGATCTGAAGGATCAGGGACTGAGGGAGAAACAGAAGCTGAAGGTTTGATCCGCTAAGAACAGGTGCAAAGAGAAGGAGTTCAGAGAAAGATGGAGAGAGAAGATTAGAAGGTGAAGGAGACCCAGGAGAGAGGGAGAGGTGAGGCGGGTGAGAAGCAGCAGATTCAAAATCACCTTCTACAACATTATTTTTGTCCTCGTAGAGTTCAGATGAAAAAAGGCCAGGTTTCCTTGAATATCAGCAAAACAAATCAAATCTCTTGACTTGACTTAAGTCGACAAAACTGTTGGGTTAAAAAATATATAGTTTTTTAGGTTAAAATAATTAATAAGGTCCAATGATTTAAGTTATCATTTTTTTATTGTAATATTGATTCATATTGGGGTTGTTACCTTGTTTTAATTATACATCTTTTCTATTTATGTTTGTATTATTTATTTATACATAAAAATGAATTATTTCCCGAATAAAATGTTTGTTAGTAAGTGTATTATTTTTTTTATACATTTGCATTTTTATCATATACATATCATATACAGTATATATATTTGTTTTACTTCACGTAGGAACTATGTCTCCCTCTTGTGTTATTTATTTAATTTGATCTTTATTGTATGTAAAAGGCAGGCTGTGGCGCAGTGGACTAGTGCGTTGGTGTTGGTTCAAACCCCACTGCAGTCAGCATGTCGTTGTGTCCTTGAGACTCTTCACCCCAAATGGCTCCTGTGGGGATTGCCCACAGTATGGAAGTCGCTTTGGATAAAAGCGTCTAACAAGTGACATGTAATGTAATGTAAAAAAAGGACTTGTAAGGACAAACTAAGTCAATACAAGCTTCTCTGATGTTTGGCTGCAGGCTAACGTCGATCCTGAACAGATTTATTTCCGTCCTCCTGCTGCAGGTCAGAGGGAAAGGTTGACGAGAATGAAAGGAGACGGGAGAAAAGTCCATCGACACCGACAGGAAGACGTGAGGAGCTGTTTCCCAAAAAAATCACTTTATATACATTTAGCATTATCTCTAAATCTCCCATGATTCCCCTCTCTCTCCCCCGAGCACTGAAGACGATAAACGCGTTAGGAAAGATTTTCTCTTGGCGGTGGAAAAGCTGCGCCCACCTCCTGCTTTGTGAAAGTGTTTCTCTTAGTCTGACCTGCAGGGAGGAGACGCTCTCTGTTCCTCCAGGACCCTTCTTCTTAAGAGAAATTGACTTTTATTAATCCCTCGTGGGGAAATTGTTTCTCTGCATTTGACCCATCCTAGTGTTAAGAGCAGTGTGCTGCCATTTTGAACGGCGCCCGGGGAGCAGTGTGGGGAACGGTGCCTTGCTCAGGGACACCTCGGTAGCCCTTGGTCTTGCCGGGACTTCAACTGGTGACCTTCCAGTTACCAAGCCAAGTCCCTATCGACTTCGCCAGCACCGCCCGAAAGGTCCCCTATCATACTGTTTTCCATCAATATATCACAGCTCTCAGATATATCCAGAACCTGTCTCTGATTGGCTGAAACACCAAATGATCATTGCAGCATTACCCATAATCCCCTCTGTTTCAGCCCTGTTTCCAAAGTGCTGATTCTCTGTCTGTTACTTTAGATGAAAATAAGGAGCCCCTCCCCACGCCCCTCTGAGAGAGATTTGGTTACAAAAGGCGCTTTCACACTGCGGTACTTTTCCCACAAAGGTTCATGTGAACTTAGTTCATGTGAACTCTTTAGTTCTCATGAACTAAGCACAGATCGCGTTCACACTGGAAAAAGTCCCTGGGGGAGGATTAGGCAAATGAAGCCGCTGACGTCACTTGTTCTTCTTCTGCTTTGGGTTTACTGGCAGGCCGCAAACCACTTCACGGCGTATACTGCCGCCCAAAGTCCCCGGCCGGAAGTCCCCGGAGTTGGGGAAGGCTTCAGTAGAAGCTGCTGGGACTCCCAGCAGCTTCTACTGAAGCCTTCCGAGTAAATCGCCAGAACGCCGACACCTCCTCATCTCCACCGCTCCCATGTTTTATTTTGTGTTGCCATAAGTTAGTCTCTCTGCGTTTCTGCGCTGGGCTAATGCTAATAATGCTAATGCAAGGATAATAAAATGGCGGCTTCACAAAACTTTTTGGGAGTTTTGCGGGACGTGGTTTGCAATCCGCCCAGCCAATCAGAAATATAGCTCTTTTCTCACAAAAGAGCCGTTCGAAAGTCCCTGCTCTCTAGCAGGGACTTTCGTGGGGGTAAAAAGGTTCACATTAACTAATTGTAGTACCGGCTCTTTTTGGTGTGAACGCGATAAAATAGTTCACATGAACTAAGTTCACATGAACCTTTGTGGGAAAAGTACCACAGTGTGAAAGCGCCTAATGGTGCTCTAGGAGGAGATTCAGGTGATAATGGTGGCTAATGGTTACATAAGACAACACATCGTTATGACATCATTAAGTGGCCAAAACTTCTTCTCATGCGTTTCTTAGAAGTGAAAATCAATGAAAGGTCACCTAGTATGCTAGATTTTAACAATATAGTATAGGTTTATATCACATATTATCCATTGCACCCCTGTTTTTTAGAGATGTGGGTAAGGTATTTTCTGACACTTACACACAGGGGACACATATTTATGTATAAAAGACATCAAAAAGTGCATTTTGCGTAATAAGAGACCTATATAGATGTCATTATATACATGTTACGTCTAAAAGGGGAGTATGTTTGGGAGAGTGGTTCCTCCAAACACTGACAACACACGTAGTTAACCCTACAGGATTCAAAAATAAACATTTAACGTGACATA